AGTAATAAAAACTACATGCAATATGAAAGCAGTTACTTAAAATTTGTATAGATATTTAACAATTGAAAAATATATATATTTAATAAATACTGCCTTAATGAACAGATTAATTTTCTGAAAAAAAAAAAAACTGATAGCAAACTTTTTACCGGTAGTTTGTGTGTGTGTATATATATATATATATATATATATATATATATATATAGATAGATAGATAGTGTTGTCGCCTCACAGCAAGAAGGTCGCTGGTTCGAGGCTTGACTGGGTCAGTTACCATTTCTGTGTGGAGTTTGCATGTTCTCTCTGCATTCGCGTAGGTTTCCTTCGGGTGCTACGGTTTCCCCCACAGTCCAAAGACATGCGGTACAGGTGAATTGGGTAGGTTAAATTGTCCGTAGTGTATGAGTGTGAATGAGTGTGTATGGATGTTTCCCAGAGACGGGTTCCAGCTGAAAGGGCATGAATAAATAAGCTGGAAGGGAAAATGAAAAAATAATAAATGATATTTATTATTGTATTTTTAAATGATTATAATTTTTATTATATTCATGGCATGGGTAAAAGATTAAAGGTTTTGCAAGCATTGAAACTAAAAATTATTTTAAAAAATTTCCCACAAAGTAACGGCTATAATTTTTTCCATGATTTACAGAAAACAAACTGTTTATTAGCATATTTAGAAAATCAATCGTTTGTTTCTAACTCTAATTAATTATAATTTTAAAATGTTAAATGTTAGATTTTTTTGTCAACAAGGAATTTGTAATCATGTTAAATATAACTAGATTTAATTTGGTTAGTTATAAGTGTTTTATATTTTAATAAGTACAGGTCAAAATACGTTTTTAAACACAATATAATGCTGAATGATTTTTTTTCATAAAGATTTGTGCCTGCATTAAGTAGGCTATAATTTCTGTGTAGTAAATGAGACGTGTTAACCCATGTTGTGCTCATTTGTACTGCCAAAGATTGTGTTTTTTAACATAAAGCTGGTTTGTAGCTTTTTTTTTTTTTTTTTAACCAACAATAACACACAATCATAACAGGCTAACAGCTTAAAAAGCTCAAGCTGTATTTTGGGTCTCAGTAGCTCAAGCAAAATGAGCAGTCTGCTCCTGTTAATGACAGTCTTACACCAGGTAAAAATCATTTAAAAATACCAGTTTAAGATGATGTCCACCGTCTATTTCCTATTAAAAAATCCCACTTTATCAGAGTATACAGCGGCAGTAAGCGACGAGGATTACCAAACCATCCTCATCTTCGAAGCCTGCGTCTAGAAACGCGGTTGATCAGCTGATCTGCTTTGCTTGGTCGTGACTCAAGCTTATTCCTTCATAAAAACAGGCCTGCCGTCATATTAAAATGCCCAAACGCGACATTATGATGTTGACATGATGAAACGCGCACCAAAACAAAAACACACATGCCTCTATATCACCTAATACATATTTAGCAATGCAGACAAGGATAAAAAAAATCCAAGCTCGCGATTCATTATGACATCACGACGGTTTATATATTAATAACATGTCTCTACGGAAGATCGAAGGTGTTTCATTCAGTGCTGGACGAGTACTGACGGCTACTAAAAATAAAGATTATGTGCTGATGTTTAGAAACAGCGTTTTCTTCCTACCTTTCGATGCACTGTCTCTCATTCTCCGATGCCCAGCTGATGTCAGAAACGCTGACCTTTCATTTGTCATTCGCGAGCTGTCAAAGGTCAGACTGGCGCATTTCCCAGCGAATCGCGCTGCGTTTTGAACCAGAGCACGAGCAGATCCTAGAAGCGGTGATGTACAGCTACTTCAGCATCATCCAATCAAATAAGCAACACAGCATCCATTCGTTCCAAGTTAGTTAAATGCATATACATTATTTTTATTTTGTAAATGTTTCTTTTCTCCACGCAACCTTTTTTTAGGAAATCACGGAGCAGATTTTATAAACACTCAAATCTATCATTAGTTGTCGTTTTATTTTAGTGATGTTATGCGGTCTGATTTAACTTCATTTATATACGATAGGATTTTTATTTTATTTTTGCTGAATCTCATCTCCTTATTATGTTGTGCTTCAGGACTTCCTTGATTCACCGACTACAGGCGCAGATGGCGTGCGCTACTATGGCGGAGGCTTTTGCTCATGAATATTAAGTAGATTTTGTTGACGTAGCCCATAAGCGTTCTGATTGATATTCATGAGCTTATCCTTTGGCGTAGTAGGATTCGCAAACATCTTAACAAATCACCTCGAGGCCCGCCCCCCAGAGGACAACCCTCAAAACAACAGCTCAACTATGACGTCGCTTTACGTAAGACTTTGCCGACAAAATATAGCAATAAAACCAAATTGTAATAACTCCAGATGGTATGGCTTTAAATACAACAGCAAATTCTTTAGGGGGATGGGAATATTGAATCGATTAAGAAATTATTTATAATTGAATAAATGGCCATTTGAGTTAAACAAGCAGAATATTTGCTTTAAACCAGCGTTGAAAGAAAAGAGATTTGTTTTTGTATACAATATAAGAAAATATATATATATATTTTTATCTTCTTATCTGATTAACAAAATTTTATATGCATTAATGTAAATTTTCAAACCAAAAACCTTTTTTATATGTTACTGAAATGCAGTATTACTTTAAAACTGTTTCTAACTCTTTTACAAAAAAGGCTTTAAAAACAACTGAAATTTATAAATTATATGATTTTTTTCTTTAATGTGTGATGTATATACCCCTTCTGTTCTGTTCTGTTTTTTTTGTTTTTTGTTATATTTTTTTCCAAAAATGTGTTATTTTTGTCTTTCCGTTTCCTTTATAATGTACAATAAAAAAACAAAAAAATATAATAAAAAATAAGAAAAAAATAAAACCAAATTTTTAACATTTATTAAGGAGATTAAACTACACTTTGTAACAGTAGTAACAGAAAAGTAAAAAAAAAAAACATATGAATCATTATGTAATATTCAATTGTTTTTTTTTTTTTGTTATTATTATCATCTTACCTATTTTTTAATATGTTTATATTTTGTATAACTAAAATAATTTCTCTCATTTTATTTTATTTTATTTATTTTGTTCATGATTGTTGTGAGATGTATTCTCTTGTATAAGGGTGTACATATTTACAATAAAAATATATAGCAATAAAAAGAAGTACTTAAAGTACATTAAAATGAAGGATGTCTGTGGTTTCTGCAATGCAGATAAAGAGAACCTTTGTCTTTTATTTTTTGAATGCAAGTTGTAAACAATTTCTGAAAGAATCTAGCCTAATATATATTTTAAAATGACAAAACTTAGTTAATATTTTACATTAAAATAAATTATTTTTTATTATGAGAACACATCTAACAAATGTCTTGAATATATTGTTAATCTCTTTATTTTATTGGCAAATTTTTAAATACACAAACAGAAATTTGCTAAATCATCTCCCACATTAACAGCTTTTTGTATCAAGTTTGACTTCTTTATGTCTACTGTAAAATTGTTGAAAAGCAAATAAATCTAAGATTTGTATCAATTATTAAAGCACTTTGTTGATTCCCCTGTTAATTCTTAAACTAATTGTATGTAGAAATGCTGTTCACTATGCTTTTTGTATTTAAAATATAAATTTTATATTTGTTTATTTTTTTACCATTGGTTTATTAGTTTTTTATGTCTCACCTTTTATGTTGTGTTGTATGTTTGTTGCTGATGGTTTATGCAACATTTTTTTAAGAAATAAATGAATAAATATACATATAAATATAAATACATGCTACATTCTTTATCCACAAACAAAAATGTCCTAAATCCTCTCCCTCATTTGCTCATCTTAATTGAAATTGATTCCTTGCTTAAGCTATGTGTTTATCTATCCAAAAAAAATCTGCAAGTTAGAGACTTATGAAAAAAGCATGCTTTTAGTCAATCTTTGATGCTTTCCGTTCTTTATTTAGTTTTGTACTTCCCATTTCTTTATTTTGTTTTCTTTTCCCCCTTTCTATTTGTCATTTTTGCTTGTTCTTTCACTTTGTAATTGTATGTACTGTGCTTGCATTCTAGCCCTGGTTTGTTGTACAGTTTTTCTTTTCTAAAAAAGCTTTAAAAAAAAAAATAATAATAAAATACATTGATAATATATAATAATAGTAGCAGGTGTAAATAAATAAATCATTGACAGATGCCAATTCTCAAATTTATTTACCTGCTAATTTTTCTTTTTTTTTGTAGTACATCAGTTTTTGTTAAACCTATTAAAGTTATTCATAATTGCTACCCAATAATTTATGATGTAATTAATCTAATAATAATAATAAAATAATAATAATAATATCTCTCCGAGTGTTCTTGTTGTAACCAGTAATTATCCATTTGTTGTAGAAGTGTGTTTATTGCAACAGTTTTTGGGCTGACTCTCTCTCTTTGTGTGTGTGTGTGTGTGTGCGTGTGCATTTATTCCTTGAATAATATTCTTTTCGGCTTAGTCCCTTTATTAATCTGGGGTCGCCTCAGTGGAATGAACCGCCAACTTATCCAGCATATGTTTTATGCAGCGTATGGCCTAGCTGCAACACATCACTGGGAAACACCCACACACACTCATTTACACACACTGACAATTTAGCTTACCCAATTCTCCTATACAGCATGTCTTTGGACTGTGGGGGAAACCGGAGCACCCGGAGTAAACCCATGCAAAAACAAAGGGAAAATACAATCTTCACACAGAAATGCCAACTGACACAGTCGAAGCTTGAACCAACGACAGTGCTACTCACTGCGCCACCGCGCTGCCCCTTATATAGATATATAAAACAATATTAATTTACCATTCATTTAATTGTATCCTAGTCTCTTCTGAGGAGAAAAAAAACATTTAAGCTATAATACACTTGTTGTTTTAGTTCTAAACGTTATTTAACATTTAAAAGGGCCAGAAGCAAATTTTCCTGATACTAAATAATCCAAAATCAAAATAATCCACTCAGAATTTTTGAGAAAATAAGTTTATTTTCTTAACGGGGACAGGGAAAGCTCAGTCATGTCATTTCTTGTATATGGTATTGCACAACAATAGGCTTTTGAGAGTTTTCTCCAACCCTTTTTGGCTGGTATATAGAACTGGAAAATGAGAGAGAGAGAGTGAAGCAAGAAAGCATATCTATGTATATCTAAAAAATAAAATAAAAAACTGAACAAAAATATCACAGTTGATAAGCATGAAGTCATGTTTACAACACCTACAGTAGGTCATGCAGCTTATCTTTGTTTTAGGGACAAATTATAATCGAATTGTAACTTAATCTGTGGTTTCTAGCAAATTTGTACTTTAATCTTCTGGATAAAAGAGATGTCACTATTATTTTATCTGAACACACTCAACAGTTATTAAATCACAAATGGTTTAAAGATATAATCACGTAATATATAAAACAGGATCTCACTGACTTGTCTGTTAGAAACACAACACTGAACAGTATTTACTAAAAAGGAGGCAGTGTTTAAAGAACATCTGATATATTTTATCTCAATACACTAACATATAGCCATTTTCTATAGTTACGTAAAAATTCAGTTTCATTTTCAACACATTCCGTTGACAGAATTCAACATATAAGACCTGGCGACCACAAAAGCAACTTCAGCACATCAAAATAAAAGAAATTGTACTTTCAAGGCAAATGTGGCATATTTGGATTCTAGAGCATGTACACTCTCAGAAATAAAGGCAGACGAGCTATCACAGGGGTGGTACCTTTTCGAAAGGTACTATCACAGTACCTAATAGGTCCATTTTAATAAATCAAGAGTACTTATTAGTCCCCAAAAGTACAAAAGTGTTCCTCCAAAAATTTGTAGATATATTTGTAGATACCAATATGGACCATTCAAGTACAAATGTGTACCTTTTGAAAAGGTACCACTCCAGTAACAGCTCGTGTATTTTTATTTCTGAGGGTGTAAAATGCTTAAAAATAATTACACCATTCTTTTGGGTGTGTAGTAACATATCACCTCAACAAATCAGAAACAGAGAAAGGCAAACACCACAAAGATCTTATAAAGCCTTCCAGCTAGAATTACACACACAAAGTCATAAGAATCTACCCTTCACTTATTATTCATGATTCAGTCACGTGCACATGGAATTTTGTGCATTTTAAATAGAGGAACCGACATCTTTATTGAATTTAAGCTGGATTTTACCCAGACTGACACCCATGATTCCAGCAAATGCTGAAATGGCAGAACTGGTCCCTGAAATGTATGAAATCTTTACAGGAATTGAAACAAGCAGAGTTAGCACACTGATAAATACCACTATACTACTAACAGACAAGCTGTGATCACAAAATAACTAGCAGGGAATCTTTGGAAATCAATGTATTCGATTGGTAATTTGTGTTGTTTTCTTGGATGTAATTGATTGTCAGACAATTTCCTCAGCGGGTTGAAGCGCAGCGAGCATCTGACTGGATGGCTGGGATCTTTGTGCTGAGAAGTGTGTTGATATTGGGCCAGATTCGATCTGTCTCTGTGTCCGAGAATGTGTACAGGATGCCTTTAGCCCTGAAAAGGTACATAGAATTACAAGAGTGTTAGTAGATAATAGGAAGACTGTGAAATAAACAAGGTTGTTGGCATATATTTTAATTATGTTTTATTATAGTTTTTGCAGACATAAAAAAAACAAAGAATTCAGACAAACCCATCATGTAATGTAAAATAAAGCATGAGAAATATATTTTTGGCATACATGGGACATATGTGTTTCTGGCTTATCTGTGGAAATATATCTTTATGACATATATAGAACATATATGTTTCTGATATATCTAGACATATATGTCTTTGAAATATTTAGGACATTTATTTGTTATAAACATAAGGGTTGTATACCTTTCCTGCATATATGTGGAAATATATGTTTCTGATATATATGGGACATATATGTATTATGCATGTAGGTGATATATATGTTTCTGGCATTTATGTTTCTAACATATTTGTTTCTGACATTCAGTTAAAGTCATGTTTATTTTTTCCCCAATTTCTATTTAACTGCGAGAAGATTTTTTCAACACATTTCTAAACATAATAGTTTTAATAACTCATTTCTAATAATTGATTTATTTTATCTTTGCCATTATGACAGTCAATAATATTTGACTAGATATTTTTCAAGACACTTCTATACAGCTTAAAGTGACATTTAAAGGCTTAACTAGGTTAATTAGGTTAACTAGGCAGGTTAGGGTAATTAGGCAAGTGATTGTATAATGATGGTTTGTTCTTTAGACTATCGAGAAAAAAGTAGCTTAAAAGGGGCTAATAATTTTGACATTTAAATGGATTTTTTAAAACAAATGTAAAAATTATTTTATTCTAGTCGAAATAATCTGGCTTATATGTGGATTTATATGTTTCTGGCATATATGAACATATGTTTCTCGCATATGTGGACATATATGTTTCAGACATATAAGGGACATATGTGTGCTATACATGTAGGGGACATATACGTTTCTGGCATATATTTGGACATGTGTTTCTGACATACATGGGACATATATTTCTGACATTTCTGGGACATATACAGTTGAAGTCAGAATTATTAGTACTCTTCAATTATTTTTTTCCTCTTTTTTAAATATTTCCCAAATGATGTTTAACAAAGCAAGGACATTTTTACAGTATGTCTGATATTTTTTCTTCTTCTGGAGAAAGTCTTAGTTGTTTTATTTTGGCTAGAATAAAAGCAGTTTTTCATTTTTTTAAATCCATTTAAAGGTCAAAATTATTATATATTTATTTCGATAGTCTAGAGAACAAACCATCATTGTACAATAACTTGCCTAATTACCCTAACCTGCCTAGTTAACCTAATTAACCTAGTTAAGCCTTTAAATGTCACTTTAAGCTGTATAGAAGTGTCTTGAAAAATATCTAGTAAAATATTATTGACTGTCATCATGGCAAAGACAAAATAAATCAGTTATTAAAATGAGTTATTAACACTATTATGTTTAGAAATGTGTTGAAAAAAAATCACAAATAATTCTGACTTCAACTGTATGTGTTATACATGTAGGGGACAAATATGTTTCTGGCATATTTGTGGACATATACAGTTGAAGTCAAAATTATTAGCGCCCCTGTTTATTTTTTCACAATTTCTGTTCAACTGAGAGAAGATTTTAATTTTAACATTTATGGGGCATCCATTAAGTTATTACATAAATGTGCCATATGTTTCTGGCATATATGTGAACATATATGTGTTATACATGTGCCATATGATGTAGAGATCAATCTTAAGATTTAATTATCTATATTGATTTAATAAAATGAAGAGCTAAAAGTTTCAAATGAATTAAATTCTATTAATTAACTGTATATCCTCATCATGAATGCATTTAACATTTATTTACTATTATTATGAGTTTTGACATTCATCCCATTGAGTTTGTGTGGGATTCGCTGTACATTTCAAATTGTGAGGAAATATGAGTGCAGAATGACTATAAGCTTACTTATAGAAGTCTATGACAGGTTTGGCAACATCTTTGTAGTGTCTCAGTCTGGCCACCAGGGCTTCTGGTCTGTCATCCTCCTGCTGAATCAGTGCCTCCCCTGTGATGTCATCCAGCCCCTTGTATACATAAAGGATAATAATAGTGAAAACAGGTATTTTACCCTGATGTGTACAACTAATTCTATGGCAAGAACTGACAGTGAAATCAACCATAAGATTCTTCTCCAAGGTTTTTCCCCCACAAGGTAGCAAGTTCTACTTAGAGAGGCACAGTTTGGATATAAGCCTTCTCCAAAACACCTGGTTGTAATTTTGAAGTACTTTTAATGCCTTTTTTACCTTGTGCAAGAGCCTTTTAAATGCTGGAACTAAGCTATGAAAGAAGGTAATGTAGATACTGTAGGTTTTATTAGGGGTAGACTTATTTAAACTGGAAATTTTGTAAATGGAAAAAGTTTTTAATACACATTAGAGCAATCATTAGGGCTGGATTTACTAACAGTTTGCGTCAGTTTAATCACTTCTTGTGTTAAAAAATACTGTTAACATTTACTCAGGACAAGCAGTAATGACTTAGCATGCATTTGGAAGACAAGGGCATATTTTAATTTGTGACGCACTGTGATTTACTAAGGTTTGCAATATTTATAGTAGTGTTTGTGCTGTTATTTGAGGGTGTTTTGCGCTGGTACTGTATCTTGGAAGGTTTGGGCGTGTTATGGATCAACAAATAAGACAGTAAGAGGACTTTTACATCTTATTTTCAGTTTTGTATCCATTTATGTGAAGGTTATTCAGTTATTCTGAGCTCAAAAGTGTTACTAGTGTCGATAAAAAGATATACTAAAGATTAACTGTTTCTTTTAAATAGATAAAAACTAGGGTTAAGTTGGACAGGTCATTCCACTAGAAAGAGACATATTGTTCCAAAACAGCTGATTAAAATGGATAGTTTCTTTTTACTGTTAGACACAAAGGAAGATATGCTGAAGAATGTTGGGAGGAAAAAGCCATTCATTTACAAAGTATTTTTATTCATATTATTGAGGTCTGTTTTTTCCAGCATTCTTCAGATGATTTTGATTTGTATGCAACAGAAGAAAGTAATTCATAAAACTTTAGAACCCCTTGAATTAAGGCTGGAACATATGGCAGAAATGCAATCTCGATAATTATTTTCCATATTGACTGATAATGATATATATTTCAATATAAGTTGTTAATGCTTCAAGATTTAAAAAAGTACGCCAACAATGACTGAAGCCACAAAAATTAGAGGGTCCATTAAATGGCATGACATTTTCAGACGATAAATTTTCAGTGTCAACAATCTTTTAGATTGCTATTGTTGCATATTTCTGTTGTGTGACTGGCTCTTAGATCAATATACAGTAAAAAAAATACAGAGCTTATCAATGTTATTCACATCAATTTGATTGTGATTCGAAAAAATATTGTTTATTGGCCCAGCCCTACCTTGAGTGTGAGTAAATGATGGGGATATGTTCTTTTTTGGGTGAACTATCCCCTTTAACTGAGTAATTGACTGTCTTCACTCACTTGGCTCACTTACATTCAAAATCAGATACATTTGGCAACAGCACAGTTTTGCTCTGAGGTGCACAACAGTTTTGATTTGGAATTGTTTAAAATATGTTTTCTGGTGAAACAGAAAAAAACATAGCATATAGCATCTAAAATATTGCATGCTTAATGTTAACTACTAGTTTGTTGAAAAAATTAGACAATAAAATATAACAAAAAAGTCTGACAGCAAATATTTTTTTGTTGTTTTTAACTTATTTTAATAGGTTAATCAGGTTTTCAACTCATTTAGTCAGCTTGATCCATGCAAGGAGATAAAAAATGTATTTGATTCAATTAAATTAAAGCAGCAAGAATTGTTTTACAGTGTATAAAAATAGCATTCTTATTTGTGTGCCTTTACTTTATTATTATATTGATGTTATGACTAGTTCAGATGTATATTAAAAACAAAAATGTGTATTTTTGCTTTCATAACTTTTTTACCTGCATTTGAATAGGCACAGAGTAAATGCTTCTAAACTCTCAAGGTGTGTTTTGTGTGTTTTGTGTGTGTGTGTGTGTGTGTGTGTGTGTGTGTGTGTGTGTGTGTGTGTGTGTGTGTGTGTGTGTGTGTGTGTGCGTGCATGTGCGTGTGTTGTGTGGCATAAGAACTGTTCCCTATTTTAGACATTAAATGCACAATATTTCAATTGCAATTGCAATATTTCAATCTGAAACAGTTTAACAGAGGTACCAGGGTATATGCAGAAGTCCGAAAGGTCATTTCAATATCTTTTAAAGACTTTATAAAGACCTTCTCAGAATATTTTAAGACCTCGTCACCACTATAAGTTCAAATCAGTATCAAACCTTTACCTTAATAAACAGCTGTAGTTAAATAAATCGATGGAGCACAACCATGCAACAGAGCTTAGATAAGCTCGGAAGAAACAAAGCTTGAAAAAAATTAATTACGTGGTTGTTAAGAGTGCCACATCACCTTCTCGCGTTTGTCACAAATTACGTGACATTACTCGGATGTAGCTTGGCTGGACGTGCCACAGCTCGAACTAATCGGGTGGAGCGAGCACACCATTGTTATCATTACGAGGAAAATAAATATATCCATGCTTTTTGGAGTCAAACACTTTGGACAACGATTGAACAAAATGTAAGACCTTGTAAAAACATGATTAAGACATATTAATACCTTTTAAGGGCCTTCATTTTCTCATAACTGATTTATCAACTTTTAATACTTTTTAAGACGGACACCCTGAGTACATTAGGATGTTCACCTGGATGCGCGGAGGATTGAAGCACATATTGTACACTCTCCCACTGGGTGGATGAATCCATCGATGTCGCAGTCGTTCTTTCAGTGTTTCCAGAGGGATGTTGAGGTTAATGGCTACATCCAGGTCACAGGAACTGTTCAGAGCTTCAGCCTGTGCCAGTGTCCGAGGAAAACCTGGAAGGCAAGTGCACAAAATGATTTACAACACATTAACACCGGCCAATACGATTATGTAAACCTGAATTATTTACTGTACTATTGCTTTATTATTTATACAGTGTTTCACTAACAAATTATAAATGAGTACCATTTTGAAATGTCATACTTGTTGCAATGTGCAGTTTCATAACTATGAATCAATGTCAAGTGTTGCAATACTACATCCTTATAGGGTGCAAGGTATTATGGTACTTTGTATCATTACTGCATGGCTTTCATAGTTTATGACTGAGTGTAGTTAGTCTACTTTAATATTAAGCTTTAGTCAGGATAAGCCTTTGCGGGTTCAGCTTTAATGTGTACAGTAAAGGAACACTAGTTTTAATCCATGGAGTAATAATATTTAAACCTGTTTTCTAGGTCACTCTGCATACCTTTTTTCAGTCAATGTTTGATAACCTTTCATCCTATAGTGGGAGTTGCAGACTGTAATCTTGCATTACAGTCGCAGTGTTTAAAAAGTAATGCAACACAATGGATGTCGCAAGCATCTGGTTTTACTCTTTCTGATTCCGTAAATCAATAAGCCGCTGAAATATGGTATTTAATGAAATATTTTTCAATGCTCAGTGTATTTTCTGAAGTTCCCCCACTTCACTATAGTGTTTTAAGTTTGTGTTAAATGAAGAAATGAAACTTTGGCTTCCTCTAAAGTGATTTAGATGCTAAATAAACAGATTTTCAAAAGCCATTTTATACACAGAAAGCTTTTTGAATACAAATAAATGGTGTACTTTAAAGTATCTTTTTTTAAATAACTCAGAGATCATATTATATTGTGTTCCATTTTAATTCATCCGAAATTCTTGCTGACAAATGAGTACAATCTAGCAATTTGAAAGGTTGTGCTAAAGTATAACTATTTAAAATGACAATAAATTTGTATTTTGGATCTGCATTGTGTGTTTTTTATGTTATCAAATGATTCTTGTTCTAAATGTGTCTGATTTAAATGTTATATATATATATATATATATATATATATATATATATATATATATATATATATATATATATATATATATATATATATATATATATATATATATAATGATTATACCATCTAACAGCCAGCTGTATTTGGTCATCTCCTCCAGTCGAGGCAACAAAAGACGTGTCATCACATGGTCTGGAACCAGCAGTCCTTTATTAATATACGTCTTGGCTAAAACACCGGCATCTGCATGATAAATTAAAGAAAAGATCAAGTGAAAAACATATTTTTCTTTCCAAATTATTTAATCTACGAATTCATATATTTAATAAGCTGCTATATATGACATATCTCCAACAATAAAAGCAGCTGAGATTACCTTATGGTATTTATAAAGCCATACTTGCAATGATATTCTATTTACGTATATGCTTTAAATACACATAATCTTTTACTGACACCAATCAATTATTAATCACAAGATTTTAACCAGAAACTAGACTGTTAATCATAATAGTTCATACAGTCACATGAGAGTCTTGAGACATCGATGCCCAATGAGTTCATTTATAATTTATTTACATGCATACGTCGTCACTACATAAATTGTACTCTTTTACAATTGCAAACTATACCACTACTACACACACAGATAAGACAAAAGTTTGCAAAAACAGTGGTGTGTTTGATAGCAAGATTCAAAGTCCGATTTAGTTGATAAGTTGTTTAATCGAAGTATGATAAATGTAAAATAAAATCTTTAATTACGATTCTATTTGCCATGATATTTTAAGTCAAGCATATTTATATTGAACAAAATAAATGTGTGAATTGGTGTGTTGAGTAGTAACATTCCACTGTCTTTATCTGCCATCTAAAGTCTTTAATAGGGGGTTGCATGGCAACAGAGCAATAAAACAAATGTGGAATGGCATTTTGCCAGCATGGCAACTTTAAAAGCGTTACCTCACGTGAACCCTGAACGTCATGACCCAGAGGATGCAACCACAAATTCCAGATCAGAAGGACCAACTGTTGAATTTAATGTATTTATAAAAGGATAACTGAAATAGGGGTTACACCTCTTTATAAGAACAAGTTCTCGCTCATAAAGAAATCCTACAGTAAATTATAATAAATACTATAAGATCCATGCAACAATGCATTGCACTGTTTATAACAGTATTTACAACACTTTGTTAATGAATGCTACAGCACACTGTATATCTGATAAACTGTCAGAATAGTAGCCTAGTTTTTACAACAATAAACTCGAGTAATATAGTAGGCGAATTGTACTTCAGTATGGTTCAAAATAGTATTTGTAATGTAGTATAGTATTTTTTTTATGCGGTATGCTTCACGGAGCATATGACATGTTGGCATCGACAGGCTTCCAGAGAGATCCAGAAAAACTACCGAAAGTTTGCCATTCATGTCAAATCACTCACCAGTTTTTGAGGAGATGTTTTCTCGAACAAAATCTCCACTGGACAAATGTTTAAGGCCGAAATTGTGCGCGATCCTCTCCGAGATGGTCCCCTTCCCCGAACCTGGTGGACCCATAATAACAGCCCGGAATAACTTGGACATTTTCTCACTGAACTGCCCTGTATGCAATAGAAACGAGTCCAGCGTTACAATTAAAACCACGCAAAACACACACTCGTTTATTTACAGTTTGCGATGCAACGCGAGAGATTACAGATCTCCAGTGCAGAATGAGGGGCGGAGATCTGTAACACCGAATAAAGAAAAACACAAATTCATAGAACAAGCAGGTTGGAGGTGCAAAACAGCTCTCAAACTTACCCACCCAACAGACTACTGTACTGTGAAACTGTTATTTGCAGGTTGAAAACACAGCTCGTTGTCAGCGTTCATCAAAACAGTGCAGCCCTTCGCTGACGCGCCGCCTACTTCTGCTCTTTTATGAGGACGTGAGCTTCTCCTCTCTGCAAATGAATGGAGGAGAAATATAAACGCCCTATTTTAAAACACTGCCTGGTTTTGGTTTAGCATCTGAAAAATACGCAAAGGCTGCACCGCAGAGGAATATGGTCAATGTAGTATTTCAATAACGGTTGCAATAAGTGTGCAATACCCACAGAGTATGTAATCTTACAGGGAATTATAAAGAAAATATTTTGTAGTGTATGTAACATAAGTTTACAGCGGAGAAATAAATAATGATAGTTTTTTCATAAGAAATCTAAAAAATAATAATGTTTAAATTTAATATGAGTGTAAAGCCTGCTGACCATTTAAAAAAAAGGATTTAATTAATGATTTAATTATTTAAATGAACAGTGAAGCATAATGGCAAAAAAAACTATATAAAATGATTTAGTTCTTTCTTTGAAGGATTATTTTTGAAAAAATGTGTCGTAAATGTGTTACTTTCATTCTTATTCTTTTTAATGATCCAATCAAAAACAAAATTGAACAAATAAAAGTTTTTGTAAAATATTGTTATGACAATTATCAACAATGTTGGGGTAACGTGCGTTAATAATATTATTTTTCTAAGTAACGAGTAAAGTAACACATTACTTAATAATAATAATAATAATAATAATAATAATAATAATAATAATAATAAGTAATAAAGTTTGAGTTACTTTTTAGTTTAATTAATTAGCTTTTTAAAAAATAAACTGCTGAATTAAAATTAGTCACAATGAATCACGAGCAATCAATGAGCAAATGTGTCGATTATTTCAAAGGCATTGAAGAAAATGAACAGAGGTTTGTCTCAATGGACAGTGACTTTACTAAAGACAAATAGTACAAAAGTAGCAAACACATTGCAATAATTTGTATACAGCATGTAGAGCTCTTTTTTTAATGGCAAATGAAGATACAGGTTTTACAGTGCATTGTTAATTGCAGTGCTCCTCTAATAAAAAAGAAAGGGAAAAAAAACAAGTTCTGAAAGAGATTAAACCTCCACCAGATCAGAAAAAGTAATGCACATGTAACTCAAAAGTAATGTAATGCATCACTTACCATAGAATCAACTAAGTGACGCAACTAGTTACTTGTTTGTTGAATAACTACATTTTGTGATGCATTACTTTCAAAAGTAACTTTCCCCAACACTGATTATCAATGATTTAAAAATAATGGTAATGTTGTTTCAACTGAATTTCTTTTCACATTTAATCATTCTCTGCTCAGTTTGCACAAAACACAAAGTATCAGTTTGTTTTGTTCTGCTTTTTATCTTTACTTCCACATAGCTTAAAAATATAATCATAATATTCTGGCCTTTAGTTATAATATTATCTGAAGTTGTTAGCATCCTAAAACTGATTGATTGATTTATAGGAAGGTTGTCCATGGTAATTTCTGGACAAGAAGCATAAAAAATGTGTACTTTTTTTGCAATAAATAAATAATCTAATTAAAACATGAATAGAAATTAGACTTAAACTAATTATGAATTATTAAAATAAATAAGTTAACAAATAAACACTGTACTATTAGGAAATATGTAACGTAATAGAAAAAAACATATAATCTAGACTCATTATAGATATGCATTTTTTAAGTATATCTCTATGTAAGAACATATTTGGAGGTATGTGGTATCAAAAAGATGAAAAAAAAAAACAACAACTTTGCACTAGATAGATTTTAGATTACAAAGTGTGATTTGGGACACAACTACTGCTGGTCTCTTTACATGCAAGAAACTCTGCCATCATGGGTGTAACTGGTGTGATATTGCCCCCTGTCTGAATTAGGACAGGATACACTTGCTGACCAAAATCTGCAAATTTGTTTACTTTAAAGCCCCATTACACACCACTTCATTGACATGAAAAAAAAGATTCAACAAATATAAAAAATACAAACACTAAAATATCCCGGTTGCCTTACATTTATAAGCTGAATCAATTTAACCATGTGAGTGAATTGAACTTATGTTAAACTGACTTAAAACAGCTTGTGTAACTTATACATTTATGTTAGAACTGGCAATTAATTAAATGTTTTGCTGTTTTTTTTTACAACTTATTACAGTGTTTTGATTAAAATAAAACAATATAGGCTAATAATAATAATCACAGCAAAGATGCACAGTGTAAAGTTCTATTCATTTATTTTATTAAACTATTGCTATATTTATATAAAGTTATATTAAATATAAACTTTTAACTTCTGGAATTCCCAAATTATTATTTATTTAATTCATTCAAGTTTCTGTCAATAAAAGTAGTTTAAACTCAAGAATAGTCATTTGTAAATCAAAAATTGCCACAGGAAACATCTTACACGGGTGTCATTCGAGTAAAAAAAAATTTAAAACCGCAGAAAAACTGTGAGGTACAATCACCATGTCAAACATTTACATTTCCGAGGAGCCTTACGGTGGCGTCAGAACATAAGAGAATGTAAACGCAGTTCACTTCGGCTATGCAATGTCGAAACCAGTCGACTTCTAAGGCTTCCATAAGGAAAGAGTCATTTTGCAATAAAGAAAGTGGCGAACTTTGAGCGTCAGGACCCGGAAGCGTGTTGTTTTATTGTCACATGGCTTGAAGATTTCAATAACAACAAAAAATGGCGACAATCACGTTGTTCGCTGTAAGGCTTGCTGCGTCATTAAAAATATTCAGGTAAACACGGGAGTTCAGCGTTGCAAATGCAGGTAAGTACTTTTGCAGTCGGTAGAATAGTACATGTGTCCATATGTGGGGGTGATATTATATGAATGTTTTACCTTAGAAGTGCGTGGTGTTTGTTTTTGCTCCGAGAGGGGTGTGCGCGCGCTGTTGGGCGTTAGCGCGCATCAGTACAGTGCAATAAGACGACTCGCAACATATAAGACTATAAGAACCAATGGACTTATGTGCTACAACAGCTTCTTTACACGCGTTTAACGTGGAATATCCACACTACATGTTGTGATATGATATGGCACGGTCACGTAATGCCTGTTCGCGGAATAACTTATGTATAATTTATTGTAGACCGTGTTGTTCTGACCTCATGACGTTTCAAACACTTTTTACTCTCGTATTAAATTGTGGTTTATAAATTATGTTCCTCACACTCATTATTTTAATAAAACCTGTAGTTTCACCAAACATTATTTGCCACGAGAACTCGCAACATACTCTGACAGCGAATGTATGCCCGTTTTAACCCATTGTTATTGTATTTTCCCCCTTTTCCCCGAAACAGCTGCTATAGGAATGTTAGGCAGATGTTTTGTCAGATTATTGGCAGGCGTTTCCACTGTCCTGAGATGGCAAACACGACGCGCTGATGGAGTTGTTTACAAGAAGAGATTCGCTTGGAGGGCGGGGATGTTTTGGCGGAGTCTGTGGGCGGAGCCGTTCGCCTGCCAAATAATACGAGCGCAAAGTAAAAAGGGGTGGAGTCAGGGTTACCATAACAAGTCTTACGTCACATGGGTGGTTTGTATGAATAATTTAAAGCTCAAAATGAAGGTATTGAATCTCTTGCTGTTAGAGAGGGTGCTGTAACTTATCCAATAAAAATATGCAATGTAGCCCAATCATGACATTATAGATGAACTGGATGGTAAAAGTTTGTTTTGTCATAGAATTCTTCATTGAGTGCATCTACTCATGTCCTTAATCTATTTGCAGATGCATTAATTTGCTTCATTTTTTATATTCTGCAATTGGTATATTATGGATACCACTGTATCTGTGATATGTAAAGTCTAAGTTGTCGTCCTTGATGGATCATGGATGAGAAGATGTGTCAATCACCACCGCCCTGGATCTGCTAGATGTGACAGGCTGCCCTGGTTCAGTTATCACAGTGCTGATGCTGTCCATCTTAAAGGTACAGTACTGTGATAACTGAAGGATGGCTGCCATCTTGACATCTTACCTCAAAAAGAGATTTGATTTCTGGTGAGAAAGAAGTAAATAACGATGGAAATAAAATAAAAATATGCAATTCTGTTTTCATTCTGTGTCAAATTACTGGTTGTCTTATAATTGTATATGTTCACAGTATGGTAATTACAATAAGAAATTGTGTGGGGGATCTAGCAAAATATTTGATGACATTTTAGCATATTATATTATATGTATTATTATTATTATTATATACTATGTTCATTCATTTTCTTGTCGGCTTAGTCCCTTTATTAATCCGGGGTCGCCACAGCAGAATGAACCACCATCTTATCCAGCAAGTTTTTACGCAGCGGATGCCCTTCCAGCCACAACCCATCTCTGGGAAACATTCACACACACATTCACACACACTCTCATACACTACGGACAATTTAACCTACCCAATTCACCTGTACCGCATGTCTGTGGGGGAAACCAGAGCACCCGGAGGAAACCCACGCGAAGGCAGGGAGAACATGCAAACTCCACACAGAAACGCCAACTGAGCCGAGGTTCGACCCAGCGACCTTCTTGCTGTGAGGCGACAGCACTACCCACTGCGCCACTGCCTCGCCATTATATACTATGTATTCTATGCATTTTATGCATCAGGACTATAAAGAGAGATCAGTGTTTGCATTTCAATTAACGTTTGTTCAATTTGAATCCTTTTGTAATATTTGAAAATAATAAAATTGGGAAGTCAGTGATGTTTAATATATGATATTAATATGATAATAATAATGTTTATTTAATAGCCGTTTAATAGATACAAAAAGCTTTCAAGACGGAGCACTATATATATATATATATATATATATATATATATATATATGTGTGTGTGTGTGTGTGTGTGTGTTTGTGTTTTAGAACAATTTGTACTACACAAAGATATTTTACTTGTGATCTAAGCAACTGGAAAATGTAGCACTAAAAAAATACAACTGTTTCTCTTTTTCTTGTGTGAATATGTGTTGTATCAAAAATTAGCTATGATAAAACATTTGAAACTTCTCAAAAGAATGTATCAATTATAGCCCTGCTCTATTATTTCAGGAGATCAATCTACGTACTGCCATCTTCGTGTTACACTGACCACCCCTCTATTCACACAATTCCATGCTTAGAATATAATTTTTAAAAGATCAAAAGATTCCTGTCTCAAGTGAAATTTCGTATAGTTTACACATTTTAGAAAAGTGTCTTATATAAATAATAGTTATGGTGACCTCTGTGGAATCTCTGGGTCTTTCCTGAGAACTATCAAAAAAACGTTTACTCGACTGCGTAATTTTGTGTTGCACGTAGACTCGTCACTTACCAATTATAGCCTACATGACTCATCCACCATTCGGAGTTTTTAACTGTACCTTTATCCCAGTGTTTTAAGTATCATTGTCAAAACATATGGGCTATACTATCATTGCATTCCAATATAGCAAACATTTTAAAATCATAATGCTATTAACTGTTAGAAAAATTAAAAAGTTTTTAATAGTTGCATCTATGCTCATTTGTAATTTTGAGACTTTTAAACACAGCCTGTTGTTTCATATATCTACCCAAAGCTCTGTTAAACCTATTGATCTGCCACTCAGTCGGTGTGCTCTTGTAGCCCTCTTGTGAAACTGCAGCCCACAGTTTCTGGCAACTCATCTGATCTCGAGAACGGGAAGTCCCTCCCATAGCAGGCTTAAACCTCTTGGTCTTAAAGACCATACACTTTTCAATGTAACCAGAGTAGGCTTTTGTGTTTTGTCGATGTCTATTTTAAAACAGAGACTGAATAAAAACAGTTACGCTGGCGGTGTTAGCTTTAGCGTTAGCTTAAACAATACGAGAAGATGAATGTTTTATTTACAAAACATTTAACATTGTAATTTACTAAATAATTCTAATATCAAGCAGCTTAATGTATACATTTCTAAATTATTTATGACAACACCTATTTGATAAGCCTTTTTATGAATTTGCGAAACTTATCAGTGTTGTGGAGTAGATAAGCATCTATGACTAACTGCAATCATGTCTAATCTACTTTTAATTGAGACATAACATAACAGTGCTTAAACATCACATTAATTATAAATGATTTTTAAAACAGGGCTTTTAAGTGGTCATGTAACATTTAATTCAACTGACATTTAGTCCAAATATCGTTTTAATGCTACTGCAATATTTAATCACATTTTAATCATGCTTAAAGATGCTGAGGAAAGACTGCATTTCAAACATGCAAAACTTGTACTCTATATGTGTAAATGTTATCAAATGTTTGGGGTAATTATGGATTTGTTTTTACCTCACCGCAACACTCCAAATTATAGTTTAATAGTTTAATCACACGTATGTTAGTAAATAAAGACTTTTCTATATACGGAGGCTGTAATAAAGATCCACTAGCTTACTCTCCGCCTAAGGGTTAACGCTATTGGTACCGCATTTGATTGACAGCTGGATGAGCCAATAGGTGGCGTGTGACATTACCCTATTTTCGGGAATGCACTCGACGCTTGACAGGAAAGGTTAGTTGATCACGAAGACTTAACCACGGTTTGTACCACTGTGAAGCGAAGTTTGTCTTGAAAATTAATCTCGCGGGATAAACCTAAGATTATCGGAGAACATTTTGGAGTTTAATAACGACCGTTTTACATCAACAAAACACCAAGAGGAAGTGTTCGAGCGTCTGTAATGATCGGAAGTAGCTTTGCCTGGCGAGGTAAGGACGAGGGCCATAACTCTTTACATCCTGACCGTGTGTCTGATCTCTGGGGGATTGCTGTATGCGTGTCTTTAATCTGCTTTTCATGTGTGGTGTATTTAAACATCATGTTTTGAAACGGTCTGCTTTCAGTTTGTCTTTTTTGTTGTCACTGAAAGTGAATAGTGTCTTGCCTGAGTCGCTCATCATTTACCTTAACGTTAAACAGTAAGTTATACGGTAATTATGCTGTTGAATACAAGCTATGAGCTTTAATCTCTTTGGTACTAATGATAATTTTTTATAAGGTGCTTTAAGGTAGACATGTAAAATAATGCAAAAATGACTTTTCTAAACCTCTAAAGATTCTTGGTTATAGTCGAAAAGTGTTAAGTGTTAAGATTAACATGTGTTTTTGTGCCATTGTTTATAACTTGCTAAACATTGACGTTATATTTAATCTCTTTGTCATGTTCTTACTGTACAGCGATGAAATGGTTAAACTTGTTGCTGCTGCCACTGCAGTTTTGTCGATATGAATTTCAGCGCTTGTTCTCTGTTATCACAAAGTGTATTTGCTGAACAAAAGTCTGTGTGGTTAAAGTGTTTATAACGTGTATTATAGAGATGAGCTGACGTTACTATATTTAGGATTCAGATAGCGAATATGCAACACATTGTGCTTTTTCTGTATTTGTGATTATGCTTGTTTTAATTTGTTGTGATAACGTGCTGTTTTCATATTTTGTGGGGTTGTCTTTGGGAACAATATGATATTTGTAATATCTGAACCCCCCCCCACCACCCCCCCCCCCCACACACACACACAAATTCTCATCATATACTCACCCTCAAGTGGTTGAACACAAAACAACAGATTTTGAAAGAATTCTGAAAACTGATAGCCTTTGAAATACATAGTCAGATGGAAAAAAACGGAAGTCAATGGCTACTTAATTCCAACAATTTTCGCTTCAATATATTTTCTTTTGAGAAAAGCAAAAGAAAAGAAACTCAAGCAGGGTTTAAACAAGTCAGGGGTGAATAAATGATGACAAAGTTCTGTTTTTTGGTGAACTATCCCTTGAAGATGCAAATATCCCTTGAAGCTGAAGTTTTAAGATGTGATTGTTGGTTAAATGCTGTTTTGTGAGCTCTACTGTTTTTATGTGCTTTATTGTGTCACATAGGCCACCAACACAATGTACTCTGGTTTAATCACATCATATTCTGTCTAATTGGTTAAACTGATTTATTAAAATTAAAGAGTGGGGCCAATTTGACTTATTTGCTCGTTCCGTTAGAATTGTTAAATTCCCCTCATAAATATGTGAAAAAAGTGCATCTGAATGTTAAAATTCTGTCATCAATTCCTCTTGTTCCATGTCTGAGTTTCTTTCTTTTGTTGAACATAAAGAAAGATATTCTTTAGAATGCTGGGGAAAAACAGCCATTGACTTCCATAGTATTGTTTGTTCCTGCTACGGATTTCAGGGGCTGCTTTTCCCCAGCGTTCTTCAGAATATATTTGGTATTGAACAAGTAAAAAATTCATAAAAATTTAGAACCACCTGACTGTCAATAAATGGTGTGGAAATTTTTATTTTGGGTGAAATGGGTGTAAACTACCCGCTTCAAACATTTCCAACTACTAAAGTGACCTCAAATATACAATGCTATACTACTGCAGTACTGTTTGATTATGTCATCCGGACAATTTCATGCTGGTTAACTGTTCAAAAGTGACATTTGGGAGATATTCAGTTCCTTTAGAGGTTTAAGTGGGAAATCCCTGTTATACAACAGTACTTACCACTTTCTCATGAAGGTGTTTATAAAAATGTGATTTATTTTTGAATAGAAACTTATGTTGTCATGTGATCCTACTAAATGAATGTACTGTTACCATATAAACAGCAACATTTAAATTTTTCCCTCAGATAACGTATTACATTAAAACTGTATTATCGACACCAGTTGCATTGGTTTGTTTTGTCCAATCTGCAAGATGTTGCGTACCACATGTTGCTGCAGTGGTAGACATAGAACAGTGAATAACAGCTTTGCCATTTTGATTTATTTATTTTCTTTTTTGAGTTAATGCATCAATCATAAAACTATTAAATGAAAGTAATTTATTAGATTTTTTTTAGGTTATTTCACAGCCTCATTGCAGAGTGGATCAGTGAGACCCCATAGTGTGCCCCCTGTTTTGAGAACCACTGACTTAAAGACCATTTTTAAGGATGTAAACAATAACAATGGTCCAAATGTTCTGGCAGCTGTTTTAACACCAAGATATGACTAAATTCTATGGAACAAAATCAATGCCAAATGTCTTGAATTAAAAAACTTGTTGAAAAAAATAATACACCGTATTAACAAGTTCTTGCAATTTAATGACTTAAATTTCAGGGTTTGTATTTTTAAGTCCTGAAATTTAACACATCTGTTTATTTAAGCTGTGAATATTTCAACGAAAAATATTTCAAACACGTTTTCATACTTAAAAATTCAATAATTCATATTAAATTTCCTGATTTCACTGCAATAATAATACTTCGCGTCTATGGAAGAAAGAGTCAATAAAGATAGATAATGTGTAACATCGTATTCATCAAAAGACGGTTTATTTGCAAGTAACCGCACCGGTCCGAGCAGGGAGCAAGCCGGCATGGGAGACAAGCTCCGATAAGATTGCAGAACAACGTCTGTCCCTGGATCCGAGGAGTGAGCTTTACGCGATCACCAGCTGGCTTTCGTTACATAAGGGCAAATATAGATGACTAAAACCTCATTTACTCATTTTACTCATACTTTTTATTATTTATAATGTCCAAGGCATTGATATTAAAATTAAATGCTACTTTTGTGCCTTTATTAGCCTTTTTCTCACCTGTTTACTGGGTTAAAAATCTTACATTTTTCCATCTCCACCTGCTGGTGAAAGCTAGAGCAGCTGGCGATCTTCACTCTGCAATCTGTTGCTTCTCCTGCAGTTCCTGGATGTAATGTTGATTTTTATCAGTCAAATTTGATCCATTGAATTTATGGAAGCGAATATTTGAACTAATATAAAATGAACTGAAAGTTACCTTTTGAATATTATACATCGTATTTTTAAAGGGTATTGAATATTTTGTAAGTGAAATCTGAAAATTAAATATGAATTATTGAATTTTTAAGTATGAAAACGTGTTTGAAATATTTTTCGTTGAAATATTCACAGCTTAAGTAAACAGATATGTTAAATTTCAGGACCTAAAAATACAAACCCTGGAATTCAAGTCATTAAAATGCAAGAACTTGTTAATACGGTGTATTATTTTTTTCAGTTTGTGATATTCAACAAGCTTTTTAATTCAAGACTTTTGGCATTGATTTTGTTCCATAAAATTGCCTCTTGCTACAGTACTGAAATATTTTGTTAACAAGCAGGAAATGTTTATGCTCTAGTGACACAGCCACATTGAAATAGTCTAGGTGATTGTCCTCAGAAACGTTTCTGTTATGCTTGTTGAGAGTCTCTTCATGTCCTAATAGCAGTCATTTAGTTAACTGGTCAAAATATATTTATATGTATTCACATATGCTGTAGAATCTGCAGGACCAGAAAATGTTCATCTAATCAAACTGTCATGCTGTCCTACCTCTCTGTAAACTTATGTATATGCATACCTCTGCGCACCCTGTTTGCACAGACAGGATGCATCATCGGCACATTCATGTATGCTGTGTAGATAGAGCGAGAATGGCAGGCAGGTATCACATTCTGTACTATAATTGCATGGTAAAGTTTTCTCTATGGTAAAAGACATAGGCTGTAGTAATGTTGTCTCTGGTCATCTGGTTTGTGCGTGTTCATGCCTTCAGGAGGTTTGGCTTGGCAGGGAGGATAGGGTGAGGTGTGCTCTTTCATTGCTATGAGGCTAAAGTTAGCATTTTCCAAGATGTCTTGCTGCACCTGTAAGATTATGTCAGTTTCATAGTGATTAAATTATAGAACATCATTGAAACTGACAATATGTTTTAGGGCTGCTCGATTATGGGAAAATCATAATCACATTGATTTTGGTCATTATTGTAATCCTGATTATTTAAAATGATGATCAGTGGGCCATATGACCAAAACGTTTTTTCCTGTAAATAATGATCCTGTAACGCCTACATTTCAAAGATCATGAAAATTCACAATTCTTAATACGAAAGCAGAATGGGACAAAGTAAAAAAAAAAAAAATGACAAAGTTCTCAAATACGTAAAGGAAAAAATAGAATAAAAATATAAAAAACGAAACCAACTCATTTTCACTTTAAAAATTAAACTTGATTTCCTCTTTATTAAAGCTACAAAAATGCTTCTGGTCAAAAGCAGTGAGTGATTTAGTTCTTGTCTTTTTTTGTTTGTTTGATAATGATATAAACCATCAGCAGCCAAAATATATAGTGCGCTGTCACTTTAAGAGCCACACAGTTCCGGTTTAATGCCTCTCTTTTACATGTAATTTCGTTCTCAACTCTTTACGTTCTGTTGTTACATAACTAACAATAGTAATTTGAATACCTACTAAGTGCCGCATTTGACACATTTTGTATATTTGACCATCTTAAGATGGCTTGCGCTTTTAAAAACATGAATGAGTCTAGTATACGCCAATTAACGAAGAAACAAAAGTCATGTTAGATGTTTTTACAAATTTCCATTTGAAATGCAGAGCAAGGAATGCAGACAACACAGAATTGCTTAAAGTAGGTGCAGTATGTCGAAATAATCGTTTTATTTCGATTAATGTTTGTTAAAGAACAAAATCAAAATAAAATTTTGATTAATTGCACAACCCCAATACATTTTGTTAGTTTGCAAATGTCTTTAAAAATATGTCTTAACACACAAAAAGTGTTAATCAGCTGTGTACCTGTCATTAACTCACCATCTAAAATACTTTTATCACATCAGGCAATGTTTCTACATGTTAAAACACAAACCAAGCAGATGCCTGCAGATTTTATTTATTTTTT